GGGTCGTTTGGTAGAGTGTTTAAGAATAATGCAAAATATAGTGTATTAGTTATGCTTGCATTAGTTATGATGATATTTTTTTTATGCAATGTTTGATTTAGTGTACTAAAAATATTACGCATTACATGATTTTTTTAGAAAAAATTTGTTTACAAAAGTACCCTCCACAAATATAGTGGAAAGGATGTAAAAAAGTTTTTGAGGGCAATTGTGTCTTTAATAATGTAAATGCATGCATTAGAACCCATTGCATTACTAATGCATAGAAATAGATGGTATTAGTAATACACTCTTCAATACACAATAGAGTGTATTACTTATACAAGCATTAGTTATGCATAGGTTAGAAAAATGTACCAAACAAGGTACTACTAATACATCAAGCTAATGCAAGCACTATTTTCTCTAATACACTCTACCAAACGACCCCTAAATGTTGACGGCAACAACAATCAAATTTACTAAAAATTTGTAATGATGTCAATCTTATTGGGCATTAGTTGAGGAGAGATTAGAGAAAAATTGAGGCTTATTTGAGAAAGGCAGAGACATTGTTGGCTGATGTTAAAAAAATTGGACTTATTCGGTGAATATAAAGAATGTTGAAGTTTCTAGGGACATTAGATGTCTAGCTAAACGTGAACTCCTTGTGGACAAGTGATGATTGACCAAAGAAGAAACACATTATTTTAGTACTTATCCTAATTTCATGCAACAATGGTTTATGTTAGTCAAATGTAGTGATCGAGGACTAGTTTTAGACGAAACTGAAGAAAACCCTAAATTCAATGAACAAACTTTAAAAATTAATCTAATTGTGCTTTAATAAACAATGCTTCATGGATTCTTTATACTCAAAAGAATTTCTTCATTGACCAAACAAGAGAATCTAAAATATAATATGATTTTTGACAGATAAAAATTGTTTGTTAAACCTATAAAGTTGCCTTCGATTTCAACATTATGAGCATTACCAATGTATTATTTATATGCATCATCACAAAACTTTAAAAATGATAGATGATATGTTCAGGAAAGCGAGCGTTGGTTTATGTCGTCAACATTAACAACAAGTACAAGAAACCCCGATGTTGTTTTCTTTATAAAAACACAAATGTAAGCAAAGTCACTATTATATTCTTCGTCAATGAATATTCACTACGGTGATTAAGTCACATCCACCTTATTTGATGTTCTCTATAAGGATTATGAACAAGTTTATAGAAACTTGTAAATGCTTCAAGCATTTTGTATCTTCGGGAAGTTTCATATGAATTTTGTCAAGTGACAATATCTAGTATTAAATGTGTGATCCTCTGATGCATCGATTGTTGGTCCAATAAGGTTACACTATCAAGATGCATGCTGCATCATTTCACTTGATAAACATTTCTACATCAGTATGCTTAAATAAACATAGAACTTAGATCCTCACAATCTTTTACAATATTATGGGCTATATTGTATCAAATATATCATCGATGAGTTATCAGTTCACAGTGTGACATAACTTACTAAGATTTCATCACTTCATTATTTACAGGTACCTGAAGCACTCATGAGGTTTCTTAAGTCATAGGCTCTTCAAGAGCACATTCACTCTTTAGTATGATCATTTTCCCTTTTCCCTTTCTATGGATTATTTCAATTGAAACCGCCTCGTCTATCATGTTTCATGCATGCCATAGACTCTGTCCTTCTAGGACATTTAATAGGAGCATTTGCAACTGAGATATGGGATTAATTTTGGGTTAGCAAATGCTTAAAGCATTTGACTTGAATGGTCTTTTGAATGAATATCGTACTGATGATAAATATTTCTTGACTGCTTATTATTCCCCCTTATGTTAGAAAAACTAACATGTCCCAATCTACTTTGGACAATCTATCTTTGTGCATCATGGTATATCTTTTAATCATATATTGCACATCAAAATCTATTAGACGGAATATATTTAGTTCCTGACCCTAAACCAATTAAGAGTGGGCAAATTAAGGTGTGGCTGAATGGTCAATGGTTGGGGAGATTGGGTGGGTGGAAGGAGACAATAAACTTAGAATGTCTCTTATGCAACTTGTTTGGCCTACTTCCATTAGGGAAATCATTTTCTTCATTTTTAAGGAACTTGTTTTCCTAGAGAAAATATTTTCCAAACATTTTGACCAACCAAACATAAGAAAATTGAAAAACATTTTCCAGAAAATGTTTTCCTTCGTACCAAGCACACCTTTAGTCATAATTTGTTGGTCTGATGCATTGAAGTGTTGTTGTATACAATATATCCTATCATAGACCAACACACATAGTTTTGTTCTCATAAGCAATGGTTCAATTATTTATTGAAGGTATTCAATGTCAAACTAGCTCGAATATAAATTAGATTTATCAAGATGAATTGTCTTGATTACACAATTTGAAAACTATGCTCTTAACTCGAACAAACAACTTTGTGAATGTCAAAATGCATGTTGACAATAAATGCACATGTGATCATCTTATAGATGCATCTATTTAAGATATCACATGAGAGGTGAACATGCCCACATTCACTTCTTATATTTTTCAGGATTTAGTTAATTCATTTCAAATATTAGTTGGTTTAATCAACTTATCATGAGAACAACACATCTTTAGAATTTGAGAATCGTATGATTAACATCTATATTTTTTTATCAAAGTGGTAATTTTAGATAGTTGCACTTCCGCTAGGAAAATATATGAATTGTTATTTCCTTCAAAAAATTAATAAAACATTACCGTAGAAATCATTCAACAAGATATATTTCCTTCTTCCTTAAAATGATATTTTAATAAAGTAGACACACGTGACATATTGCAATGACTTCTATACCACAAAAATAACATGTATATCCTTTGTTATTCTATCTCTTCGAGAGAAGTTGTGGTATCTCTTTCATTCACTTCGGGGAATGAAATCTGATTATTTGAATGTGCTTGAAATAGCAATCCCCTCGACCTATTCTCAAACTTTAAATAGGTAGGACGACGCGACTGCTTTGTTGAGCCGCACATGGAATCAAGAGCTCCAAGTGGGCCATTTTTGGTAAGCTGAAGTGGCAATGCGGGATGAACCGGAAGTCGGGTTACGGTGCCAAACTGTGCGTTAACCTAGATCCCACAAAGGGTGTTGGTCGATTAAGACATAGATCATTATTTTCCTTAAGTAGAAGACATTGCTTAAGAGTATTTCTCATATATTTTTCAAATTATTTTTACTTCAGGAGAAAATTTGGAAGTTTTACTCCTTGGAGAATGTAATTTTAAATTTTTACCACTTTCGGAGTAAATTTCGAAGTTGTACTACTTCGGGAGTAAAGTTCAAAGGTCTGTTACTTCGAGAGTAGATGCCTGATTCTTACTACTTCGGGAGTTAGTTGCAAAGTGTTTACTACTTTGGGATTGAATTTTAGGTTTGTCATATCCCAAACTACCTCCCAGACGTGATTGACACCCAGCACACACCACCGGCCATGTGACCCAATTACCATACCTTCACCATTAATTCACAACATTTGATGAATTAAATAAGTATTCAAACAATATGATAAATAATTATGAACACTTGGTATCTCAAAATATGAATCTAACACTCTTGTGCAAATCCCACGCTAAACCAAGGAGCATCAAAAGGAATCACAAAAGGACTCGGAATATTAATGATAATGACTCTTTTGAAAACCCCCACAAATAATGCAGTTGTTCACCTCAACAACTAGATCAACTCTAGCGAACTCGTCAACCTCGAAGACCATTGATTCTGCCAAGCGCATGTTCGTCCCAACTCAAGCAGACAAAACACCTTTTGAAAATGGATTTGAAAAACAAGCACCCAAAGCTTAAAGTCTCACTTACCTCAAATTCACAACTCAATCATGCTTTCCAATAGATCATAGCTACGGTCTCGAGTCTCTGGATCACCTCAAACTCACAAAATGGGTTTAGAATGGTCAGAAACCCTTCGTCGGATGTTTTCTTAATTTTAACACAAGTCAAATTTGCGGTTAAAGATTAACCCAAAAAGTCAACTCGGATTAATGAGTTAGAATTCAGAACCAATAATATTTTGAATTACCCATACCTCGTAGAGTTTCAACCCTTGTTGTTGAATGATGGATCAATTTCCAATTTCATTAAGTTTCAAGCTTAGATCTTAATCGTAACTTTCTACCTCAAACATATCTCAATATCATCATTCAAGTTTAATTAGTGAATATTATGTCCAATATTAATTATCCATGTCCCGAAATATTAATCAAAATGTGTATAAACACGATGCTGAAACAATAGAGCTGCATAGCCAACGCCGATGGCTTAACCCCAATTTCTCAAAATAATGTTTAATCTCATAATTATTTTCCATATGATCATTCCATCCTAATCATTGCAATATCATTACTTGTTGACCAATATCAATTGGAAAAGTGTACAAATTAAGATTGGTAGTACTTGAAGCTTTTCTTTTAAATGTGTGAAGGACTATGTTGTTGTTCGCCTGTACTTCCTACTTCTAGTTCCTTTAAGAAACTTGTAATTTTAAGGCATTGGCCAATAACTACAAATTAAATTAGTTCTCCAATCTTTCCATAATAAGTACTCATAAAAATAAATTGTTGGGTTATTACTGTTTTACTATGATAATAAATTTTAGATTTATTATTTTGAGGTTAAATTAAAAATATTTCTTCTTAATTATTCTACTTCTAGAAGTGTGTGGTGATAACTTCACAACCAACATTCTTTTATTAGTGTGACAATAATCATCATCATCGTGCATAAAGATAATCAAGCTATGCATGAACCAAAGTATTCATATTTATTAAATCATCACACTCATCCATAGATTTCATATAAGGAAATTAAGTTCTTCGAATCACAATATTTATCCAAGATGGCTGAGTCTCGTGCTGATAATGCGTGATAAAATATAAAGCAAAAGGAAGAAAATACTGAAGAAACGTAGAGAGAAGGGAGAAAGCTTTTTATTTCTTTTGATGTATAAAATACAATGAATGAGAACTCCTTTATTTACAAGGGAAAACTAACTTGATCCCAATGTCCCAAAATTTGCCTGAAATTTGAATGATGTAAGCAATCAACTTCTTTAATATTTTTGTTATCCTCAATTTTGTTTTATTTGTAGCACCTTTAGATTCCTCAGCTCAGATGGGAAATGCAAATGGTGCTGATTGGCAGAAAGAGGTTTACCAAAAGGTTTAGTTTGCAATGGTATTTTTATTTGCTCAAGATTTTAAAAACTGAGGATATCACATACGACTTGCTGGAAATTGATTTTTTTTGCATTGAGTTGTGATGTGGAATTTGTTTTAATGAAATTTTTTAATGAAGATCAAGTCTATGAAGGAGATGTATTTATCAGAGCTCAAGTATATATACTTGAAAATTGCTTCTAAAGTCTGGCAGGTTTGTTTTTTAGCTAAATTAGCAGATCCCAAGCGAACCATAGTCCTTGATATAATTACTGTTACTGGATTTTAGTCTTAACTCTTCTCTTTTACTTCCTTCAATCATCATAATGTCCCACCTATTGATGCTTTCGGACGTCTTCTTAGGACATGTCTATACCTTCTTAGGTGAGAGAGCCATCTTAGACGACGTCTCATTTTAACCTTTATGTGACACTGTTATATAGACATGATTTTGATGTTAATCTTTTTTCCTTCACTGAAAGGGATCAAGGCCTCCCTAATTCTTTGGGCTTGGGCTTTATATATCTGAGTTTTAAAAAGCACTCATGACAACATTTTGTTGAAACATAGAATGCTGGCTAGTTTGTTTTCTTTTGCTTTGTTTTTTTTTGTTTTGTTTTTCTTGATGGTTGAAGGTAACGTATGTGTTCATTTTTACTATGTTATTCGTCTCTTTATGCCTTTTCTCAAGTTTTCCGGCCTTTCTCTTGGCATGTGAGGGGTACTAAGGGGTTGTTTGGTAATTGGTTAGAGTTATGCACGTCTTAGTAATGTAGGAATTAGTTATGAGTGAATCTATGTATCATTTTATGTAGGTATTCGTTATGTAGAGATTGGTTATTCATGTATTAGTTATTTCACCTTTTAGTCTGCATAAAATAACACATAGATTCCTAATTAATTATATATATATATTAGTTATGCGGGTTTTTAGATTGTCAAGCAAACGTCGTATTAATTTTATACATGAATTACTTATTTCCTTTCTATCTACCAAACGTGGTATAAGTTATATGGAAATTAATATGGATAACTTGTTTCTTATGCAGGTACCAAACGACCCCTTAAAGCTAAACCCGTTCTACACATATAAAACCCTTGTAATTTATCTCAGGTTCTGTAGTTCTCTTTCAAAATTCAGTTACATAATTTTGTTCTTTTTCTTTCGATTGTGAAGAAAGGAATTTGATTAGGTCAGAAATTGAGATGAATGGGAATAATTGGATGGCTGCTCAGGCTCGGGGAGGTGGTGAAGGTGCCGGAGCTGCTGCCGGTGATTGGCGGACTGGACTTGTGCCCTATACTCGTCAAAGGATTGTCAACGAAATGTAAACTTTTAAAAGAAATTGCAGCTTGTTCTTGTGGTTTTGTTGAAGATTTTGGATTTGGAATTTAGGGTTCTTTAGTGTTTTATCAGTTTTATGAGAATAGCTAGTTAGGTAGAACCTGTTTTTTCAGATTTCAATTTTGTCAAAACTCACTTCTCTTAGTGAATTGGGGGATTTCTATTGCTGCTACTTGGTGGAGTAAATTGAAAGTTCATGGCGAAGTTTTTTTTAATTATAAATGTGGTGTCTAGGCCGGCTTTTGTGTATTTAGACTAATTTTCATGGGATATCTAAACCTGTCCACCAAGGCTAGGACATAGGTGAAGAAATCACCTGTATCGACATTAGATCACACCCTTGACTACTTCATGCCCTAAATATTTTCAATTTAGGTTATCAATCAAGAAACTATTTCAAGTGGAAAACCTACTTTTTCTCTATGTGCCTTATATTTTGTTTTAAATTTGTCGAAATGACAGGTAGTTGCTTGAGCTAATTGGATTATAACTACTGATATTCTTTAGAGAAAACAAGTCTTAGTCTTTCACAGCAGGGGGATGATGACATTGTTTTTGATATATTTGAGAAGCATTTATCTAGATTGTGTTCTTGTCAAGCCTTTAAGCTGATCTTTTTTCGATATGTTTGTATAGATTGGAGGACATTCAGAGGGTTTTTCCTGTCTTTAGGCATCGGCATGTACAGGAACTTAGGGAAATTGCAGTGATGTTTGAGGAAAAGATGTATAATGTTGCTACAAGTTGGGTATGCAGTCTAAACTCTTTTCTGTTTATTTGAATGATGCAATTTGTTCTCCACTTCATTTGACGTTTCTATTCCTGCTTTTTGTAAACTTGCATACATTTTTCCAGTCATCTAGACATGCTGTATGCATTCTAACTTAAATTTATCTAATATTGCAGAATGATTATCTGTATAGAATATCCTTTAAACTGCGGACAATGACCAATTGTTTTCATATCAATACTGCAAGTAGTGGTCAGAATGCCCATGGTCCAGGTGAACAATGAGAGTTCATGTTTTGTATTACACATTTTCACTTGCAATGTGAACTTAAGAAAAATGATCCTCTCATTTTTAATAGTCTTTTTTCAAATTTCCTATGTGGTGTCGTGCATAGCAACAGGGAAGCCTATTTTTTTTTGTTGCAAAAGTAGACTTTAAAGGGACTTGTTTGTTAAATAAAATCTTGAGCTTAAGAGTTTTGTTGGAAGCAAACTTTCCCTTTGAAATCCTCTCTTTTTTCGTTGTTATTTTACTCATTTCTAAAATTCCTTTTTAAAATTGAAATTTCAACCTAAGGGATGACAATGGAAGCTACTTCCTATGAAACTACTTCTGGGCCGGAGGATAGTGACAAGGAAGCAGCAGAAGAGGACGATGAGGGTGTGCATAAGGAGGATGTTGTAGAGGAGGTGGTGGGTACAAAGGAGCAAAACTATGTTGTTGGACACAAAGACAATGTCCGAGTTGTGGAGAATGAGGTAATTTTATTTTTGTAGTTCTGCTTTCCCATTTATTTTCTTTCTTTGAAGCATTTTCTCTATCAAAAATGGAAGAGAAAAAATAGCATTATACCATTGATTTATTTGTTGTTAATGATACAAATTGAATTTTTGTATTTGCTAAGTTGACTAGCTAGCATAATAAAACCAGGCCACTGATTTACATTTTGTTGTGGGGGTAATTGTGGTGAAATTAGTTGATACTAGTAGTTGCCGGTGTTGATGGTGGTGGTTGAAGAATGTGTGGTGGTTGATAATGTGTTGGTGGTAGTTGTGATGATAGAGGTAGTTGGTAGTAGGGATTAGCGATAATGGTGGTGGCGGCTGTGACAGTGGTGGCAGTTGATGTAATTATAATGATGTGGATGGTAAGTGTGGTAGCGATTGACAGTAGTGGTTGGCAACGATGGTGGTTGTGCTGGTAGAGAAGGTTAGTGGTGGTGGCTGGTGATTGTGAATAGAGTGAAGGTGAAAATTATCCAAACAAATATACCTCTTAATGATATTAAGACGTTCAAGATCTTAATGATTAAGACCTATTCAGATCAAATAAGTTCTTAAATCTTATTGTATGCAAATGCATTAATGACCTAAGGTTTGAACTATTCATACCAACTTTGTTAAGTACAGGCTAATGAGGCCTAAGAGCGACACTCTAGTATCCACTTGTACCTAAACTTGTCAGGGAGTAATCCAAAATTAAAGAGTGTTTTTATCTGGGTGGAGTTGGGAGTGGGGATCAAGGGGGTGGTAGGTGATTTTAACTGTATACTTGTGATTATTCTGCTAGTATAAATCTCCTAAGTTACTAATGATCTCTGTTGTTTTGTATAAATGATATCTTCTGTTTTAAGGTCTCTTAAAATATATTAACCTCTTAAGTTACTAATAGTTGCTCGTGTGTTTTATTCTAAGATCTCTTGTGGATTGAGTTCTGGTGCTAAACTTGATGAGCGTTTAGCACTAGTTGAGGAACGATTAGAGAAAATGGAAGCTCATTCGGAAAAGATGGAGACATTGTTGGTTGATATTAACAAAAAGTTGAACTACTTAGTGAAGATGTAGGATGCTAAAGTGTCTAGGGACTTTAGACGTCCAACTAAGTACATCAGATCCTCGTGGACTGGTAATGACCGATTAAAGAAGAAACGTAGAGTAGCTGAGATGATAAGACAGTCGTGCAAGCATTGACGATGGGAAGAGGTGCAATAGTGCAGTAGTTCCTCCGGTTGCTTTGCATGATGATTGTGTCGTAAATGTTTAATTTACTAAGTTATCAAGTAAAAAAGAAACTTTTAGTTTAATTTCTTTCTTTTTAAAAAAAAATTCTAAGATCTCTTTGTCCTTCTCTAAAATTCTAAGATCTCTTTGTGTTTAAGGTTAATCTTCTTCTAAAGCCACAATTTTTTAGCAGGAATCTAGCTCCAGCAAAGTTATTGGGAGGCCTTCAGTATTTTTCAAGTAAAATGAGTAAGTCATTATTCACCTCCATCATATATTTCTTTTGCATCGTTTTAATTATTTATTTTTTACTGTATCTATTATGTATTTCATTAATTTTGATTTTCTTAATATTGAGATTAGATTCCTTCCGCAATCATTATTCTTTGAAGGTGGTCATGCATTTATTTCTTATAATTCTTCCCCCTCTTGGTGAATAATAACTTGCTGCTTTGGCTAAAGAACACTTTTTGTTGTTGTGTTTTGGTTTTGGGTTGGATGATGATATTATAGTAAAGATGTAATCATTGTGGCGATTCTATTTATGGTCTGTTTGACCAAGTATTTTGAAGGCTAAAAGTCCTTATTTACAAAGATGATGTGTTTGCCTATGTTTTTGAGAGAAAATGAGAGTTTCTAGGAAGTAGAAGTTATTTTTCCGAAATTAGTAAGAGTAGTTTTCCCTAAAAACACTTTTGAGAAAAATTCACTTTTCAAAATAAATTGATTTTAGAAATTTGGCCAAATAGGCTATACTACAATTCTATGTATAAATTTATAATACAAAAGTACTAATACTATATTTATCTTTTTCAGAGGAGATTGGAAGGTGGAGCTCTTATCAAACAGTGCGAGAGACGAAAGAGATTCATCTTCAGTTGCTTTGAATTTATGAATTTATATATCTTGGCTTGTTGATTCTTATGTCCTTTGAAGTTTTACTATGCATCTATTTATATTTTAAGAGCAAAATTGCCTTAATGTTGCTTGATATATGTTGATCAACTGAATTGAACATTGATTGTCAAGTTTCCTAGTGAAAGTAAAACAATTTTCTTGTTTTGAAGGTGATATCAACAGCTATTATCAGGTAAAAAAAATACTTTAAATACTTCAACATCAAATGATTTTTCACCACATATATATGTACGTTTGTCAAGTTTAACACATGATTTGAGCATGCAAAGAGGAGATGAATAGACGTCTCACTTAGGAGGTCTGAGAGGTTGGATACAGTGGGTTATAAGGAGAGGTGAATAGGTTGGTATAGCAGAACTTAAGCTTATTGAGGATGTTTGCAGGTTGCGTATTAGTATAGAATGTTGGTAGATATTTGCTTTTTGTCTTGCTTTTTGGTGGTAGTGTGGTAGCCCGTAGCCCTATATCTGTCGTAATTTTATTGTAGGCATGTAATTTCTTCCTTTTGATATATGATATCATTTGTTGTCTATTTTATTTCAATATCACATTATTAGTTCTTGTTACTATTCCTTTTTCTAAATGATATGTACTGCTTTCTTTATTAATTGATATGTTTTCTTCAATTGTCGTATTTTCTATTCATGTTGATTTGATGTGCTTGAGTCAATGGTCTTTTGAAAATATCTCTACCTTCATGGAATAAGGGTAAGTTGTGCGTACATTTTACCTTCCTCGGATCCTAGTGTTGGATTGTATTTGTCCTAATATATCTTTTAGGTGGACAATTATATCGTATACTTTCCAGAGGAATAATAATAATATTTTGATCATGATAAAACAGTCATGCCATGAAATAGAATCACCAAAAATAATTTTTTTTCAACAAATAACGACATATTATGTGCATGATAAAGTTGGTGTCCATATCTTAAAAAGATCATTTCATTTTCTTTTATCCATCGATTGCATTGAATCAATTATTTTTGGTTGTATATAATCTTTTATTCTTTTATGTAAGATAACTGACTAAAGATGTTCATGTGAAAAATAACAATTGATAATACCTCAGTTTGAAAAGTTCTACGTTCTTGAAAAGATGATGATGATAAAGAGATCTCAATAAGTTAAGTGAGATTAAAATGATTTTAAAGTCGATAATTCCTTTTGTTCCGAATATTGCTATTGAAGTAATGTAAGAAAACTAGAACCATGGTAGACAGAAGTGCTATTGAAGTCGTCATCGAAGCAGAGAGCGCTCACTTGCAAAAATGTGATTTTGGATCGATACTGCTAACACTTGAAGGTGTAAAATCAATAAGGTACAAATAATTTCTTATGTGAAAACGTAAAGAGAAAAATGAAGTCATTAGATATAAAGCATGATTGGTCTCATAAGATTTTTGCCAAAGAGCTAATATTGACTATATGGAGACCCATTATCTAATAGTGGGAGCGAACATTTTAGGATATCCAATAAATTAAAATGTGGATGCAAAATTTGATAGATGCTTGATGGATGTTGTTACATCCTATTTATATGGCTCACTAGACAATGATAATTTTTTGAATTCCCTAAAGAATTGAAAATGCATGGGGCATATAAAGACTTTTGTTAAGCTTGTTCAATAAAACTTGAAAAATTGTTAGACATATTGAATCAATAGAGGTGAATGTGATACAATCATCTTAGTGAGTATTTCATAATAATTATTTACGTTGATGATTTGAATATCACTGGAACTCTAATCCCCCAGATAATATAATATATATATATATATATACACACACACTCTGATTATCAACATACGGTAAAAATTAATTTGTGTGTGTTCGAATTATCTCAATTATTAACAAGTTTAAAGTGCATTTGATATTTTTTCCTTTTTTTATTTTATATATTTAATAATGGAGAAAAATTTCTAAGTACAATTTTTTTTCTTTCAAAACTTGTACTTTTTAAAATAAGTTCATAAACTCAATATAATTATTCATAGAGATTACTCAATTAACAATAATTTTATAAATAAAATGAATAACTGAGTTTTTTCATATTTTAAATAAAAGTTTAATAACTCTTTAGATAATTATCATTAACTTAAGTGACTTTTATGTTATCAAAAATATAAAGATAATTGGGTTTATGGTATAAAAATTATTAATTGAGACACCTATGAGAAATTAACTCTTACTATTTTTATTTCAATTTACACAAACGTCAATAACAAATTTATATCTTCCAGGTTAAGGAAGAAAAAGTTGATCAGAATTGTGATGGATACTCATGGTGAAGGTACCGACCCAGCCGTGGCGGCCACCGCAGAAGCTGCCGGAGGTAATTTTCTTTTCCGATTTCAACTTGCATTTGTTTTTTCTTGTTCTTTTGTCAATGCTTTTACACTTCTGATCGAGCTTGTTGTATGGGGTTTGCCTAGCCCAGTGTGATTTGTGGGTTATTACACTAGTATATAACATATAATAGTATGTTTTATTTTTAGTCTCTATATATATATTTGAGTGCACCCTTCAGGGTGGTCCAGTGGTTTGGGCTTGAGATTTCCATGTTGGAGGTCTCAAGTTCGAAACCCTTTGCCAGCGAAAACAAGGGGTTTACCTTCTGGGTCGAGCTCGTCACACCGGACTTGCCTAGTGTGGGTTACTCTCCCATGTGGTTTGCGAGCTATTGCATAGGAGCGGGGTTTTACCCTGTGCGCACCCAAAGGGTAGCGGCTGCGGATTTCCCTTGTCATAAAAAATAATAATAATATATATTTGAGTGCCCTAAGCACGAGACTAGAGGCTATAGAGGGTTCAAAATTGTCCTTAAGGTTCCAAGTTTAAATCGTAGGCACTTTTTTTTTTAAAAACCCATCCGTCAATGCCCAAGGCCTTGGTCTAGTCCCAAAGAGTGAATTTGTTATGGGTTAGAGGCACTTCATAGGTTCGAACCTTGATACAATGTAGAGAGCGGACTCATTATTTCTTGAGTTGCTAACTATCCGCCATTGTGGTAATAAAAAATTTGTGTTAGAGGTTCCCACTTTTATACCTTGAAATATCCAACATTGTCCCAAAATTTTCTTGGAATTCTAATGTTGTAAGCAATCCAATTCTATAATATTTGTGTGATCCTCAACTTTTGTTTTATTTGTAGACCTTTAGATTTTACAACTCAGACGAGAAATGCAAATGGAGCTGATTGGCAGGAAGAGGTTTACCAAAAGGTATTGTTTGCAATGGTATTTTAATTTGCGCAAGATTTTGAAATTAAGGAAATTAATTCCGTCTTGGTCCAATATGTCAATGACAAAAACTAGTTTCACAAACACTATCATAAATGAGAAGTGAAGTATTGTTTGATAAATTGATTGATTATAGAAAATTAGTTGTTCAAAATTGTGATCATATTATCTGAATTCATGAGGTAATATGTATGGAAGGATGGATCGAAGTCTTCATGGCATGTCACCAATTTGCTTTAATTCTCGGCAACTAAAATCTTTAATTGATAGTTTGAAGGATTGACCTGTTCATGCAATAAGTATATACCTGAATATATGGCTATAAAAGATGTTCTTTGTGTTAAGAAATCACACTCTTAGGAAAATGATTTTGGAAATTTGGAATAGAGGGAGAAGCTTTATGGAGAGGGGTGTTAGCAGATAAATATGGAGAGATGGAGGGGGGATGGAGAACAAATGTGATCACGATGCCCTTCGGGTGTGGTGTGTGGAGACATATCATAAATATGAAGGGGGTGGAATGCCTTAAATGATAACATTGGTTTCAAAGTTGGGGAAGGGAGTAAAGTTAGTTTTTGGGGGTAAAAGTAGTGTGGAGGATTGGTGCTTAAGGATGAATTCCCAGTATTGTATAGTGTCTTGCAAAGGAAATTGTCTAGTGTGGAAGACAAGAAGCCCATTAAAAGTAGCATGCTTTGTCTGGTTGGTCATAAGAAAAGCTTGCCTTACACATGAGGCATTACAAAAAAGGGGGATGCAGTTTTGCTCAAGATGCTTTATGTGTGAGCAGAAAGCAGAAGTAAATAATCATTTGTTCATTCACTGTAAAGCAGCTTCAAAATTGTGGAATATGTTTTTGTGTATACTAGGGGTTAGCTGGGTGATGCCAAAGACAACCATGGAACTCCTTAATAGCTGGACAAGAATTGGCAACAAAGGGAAAAGTGAAGATTGGTGGAAGACTATTCCAGCCTGTATATGGTGGACTCTATGGAAAGAAAGGAATGCTAGGTGTTTTGAAGGACAAAATGATAGTTTTCAGAAGATAGAAATGAAATGCTTAAGTCTTTTATTTTTTTGGTGTAAGCAAGAGTTGGTAGGGGAAAGCATAGAGATGGTCGATTTTAAAGGAAACTTGTAATTCTGTATGGCTTTTTGAGGGTGTGCCCACCACCCTGTGGGATGTAAGTTTCCAATTCATCATCCCTTGGATGATGATTTTTTTGTGAATACAAAGTTACCCTTATCTCAAAAAAAAAAGGAAATTGTCTATTCAGCAAGTTAAGGGGGCTTGTAGTGATGAGACGTTCTAGGTTTACTTCAAAAGCAATGCTAGCAATCGATAGACCCAATGCTTTGAGTTGGGAGTTGGGAAATAACTAAGTGTTCTCGGTTAAGTCCTTATATGAGAAGCTTCTGGTTAAGGCAGTGTTTTGGACGACAAAAGGTGATAAAAGGCGACAAGGCTCTGTCGAGGCGAATGGCAAGGCGCTTGCCGTTTTGAAGTGCGGCCCAATTAATACCAAAATATTCAAATATTTTTCTGCATATATAAATAATCAAATCTAAATAGCAATAACATATTAGCAAATATGTCAATTCAAAAACTGAAAATAGATAGTACATACTTAGAACTTGAATAAGAAAAAAACAGAACGAAAGTCAAAACATTGAGAAAAAAACAGAGGTAGATGTGTGATTCTGAAGTCTGAAGAAAAGAAGGAAAAAGAAGCAGAGGAAGAAGAAATCTGAAGAAAAGAAAAGAAGAAGACAGAAGAACAACATATTGGTTGGACTTTGGAGTCGCCGGAAAAGTCTGGTCGGTCGCTCGAGTAGTCTAGTCGAAAACCCTAAAATTATCTTTTAACTTTTAAAACCCTAAATTAGTCGCCTTTTTTAAAGAAAT